GGAAACGGGGCCTCCCTGGTAGCGCAAGGTGTTAAATTTCAGCACTAAGAAGCTATGGGCAGCCACGGTAGCACATTTGATTCTAGGCCAGGAAGGTGACCCACATGGCCTGGCAGACCTCTCCTGACCCACCTGCTGCTCCCCTCAGCAGTGTATTTCAGTGACCTGCCTGTTCTGCTCCCCACTCTGTCGCTGGTGAAGCCTCTCACTGCCCCTGCGCCTCTGGCTCGTACCCCAACTCTGTATGAATAAATAAATAAATAAACCTTTTTTTTTTTAAAAAAAAGATAATTGGTTACTATACGTATGAAATTTATCAATCTTTACGAATCTTGGAGCTGGGCTCTCCCTGGTGGCGCAGCGGTTTAAAGCACAGTACTAAGAAGCTAAAGCCACTTCCACATGAGTTTGATCCCCGCCTGCCCCAGGGCTGATCCACATTGCCTGGCAGACCTCTTCTGACCCTCCCGCCAGCTGCTCCCCTCAGCAATGTATCTCAGTACATCCTCCTGTTCTGCTACCCACACTGTCTCTGGTAAATCCTCTCACCTCCACCTCTGGCCTGTACCCCAGTTCTATATGCACAAATAAATAAATCTTTTTTAAATTTTCTTTAAAAAAAGAATCTTGTAGCCATGGGTCAAAAACAAATTCATAGAAATAAATTTGACTAATGTCTCCATAATAAGAAATGTTTGCCTAATGCCTCCAATGTGTTTGAAGTAGCCATGGTAGATTCATTACTCAGAAAACCTTGTGAGCGATGCTGAGAGGGAGAATAGGAAATAAGACAAAAGAAACAGAAATTTCTGTAATTGCTAAAGACTAGAAAAGAGATTACATTACTCTCCCCAACAACCCCATCAAGTTTCACTTTCTGTAGTCAACCACAGTTAGAAAATATTATGAAGAATATGTTATTTTGAGAGGTCTGCCTCGCCATGTGGGTTACCTCTGGGGCAGGGATGGAACTCATGCCAAAGTGGCTTTTTAGCTTCTTAGTGCTGTGTGTTAACCTGCTGCACCACCAGGGAGGGCCCAGAATATGTAATTTTGAAAGGGAAGAGACCATATTCACATCATTTTTATTTCAGCAGATTGTTATAATTGCTCTATTTTTTATCATTAGTTGTTCATCTCTTACTATACCTTATTTATAAGGTAAATTTTATCACAGGAAAAAAAAATAGCATCTATTTCTCTGTTTAGGGTTCGGGTTTACCATGGTTTGGTTTCAGGAACACATCCCCGGTGGTTAAATGGGTACTGCTGCCAATGGATTATCACTCTGACCTAATGGGGCATTTCTGACATTCTCATGTTTTCAAACACTCCACTAACTCAGCTATCTGATAGATTATGCTCAAACACCCCACTAACTCAGCTATCTGATAGATTATGCACAAGGCTGAGTAACAGACAGCATCTGAGACAACGATGTTTGCCATATTCCATGGGCATTCTGTTTTTCTACTTATTTGTGCCAACCAATTCTAGAGATGGCAGGTCCTGTGTTATTTTACTCTTTATAGTACCCACCTGTACTTCTTGTGCATATCATCATTTTACTCAAGACGCTAGTTACTAGTGACCCTTCTTTGGTTGGTAAACGCTGAGACTTAAAAACCTCAATTAGCTTGACCTCACCATAAACATAGCTCACTGGGACATAATTGTCCCAATATGCCTTACTAGCCCTTTCTTTTGGTTAGTTGAGGATCTGGTCCTGTCTTTGCTACTAAGATCGTTATGCGCGAAATGCAAGTCACTTTGTCTACCTGGGGCATACGTGATGCCTGTAAAAACATCCTGTAAATTGTAGTATTTAAAAATATGATTACTGAGCTTGATGAGTTCTAAATTTCTTTCAAGATCTAAACTTTTAATTCTATACATAGGTTCTATTTTTAGTGAATTCATCTGATCCAGGAGCCAGGAACGGCATTTTGGCACACTTTAGAAAATTCCTCCCATTTCACCAAAGTTGCTGATGATTCAATAAGTACAGAATGATTTGTGACTTATTAATATAACTGCACCAAAACCAGGTACTTTTTCAGTCACAGAGATTGAAAGTTACCACAAATGATACATGATTTAAGGAGACTAAAAATTTCATATTCTACATTTAAAAAGAAAAAACTTAAATGTGACAAATTTAAAACTTAAGATGACTTCAAGTGAAACCACATTTGAAAATGTCACGACCACTCATGTGACATGTTTATATATTTCATTGGATAGCTTCAGTATTTGGAACAGTGTGACTATGGCAGGCGGGAAACAAATAAGGTGACCCAGCAAGTATATACATAAAATCATAAAGCTCAGAATAGTTTTTGGTTTTTTTTAAAGATTTATTTATTTGTACATACAGAACTGGGGTACAGGCCAGAGGCTCAGGGGCAGTGAGAGGCTTCACCAGAGACAGACTGGGGAGCAGAACAGGCAGATCTACGAAGTACACTGCTGAGGGGAGCAGCGGGCGGGTTAGGAGAGGTCTGCCACGCCATGTGGTCACCTCCGGGGCAGGCGGGGATCGAACTCATGCAGAAGTGGCTTTAGCTTCTTAGTGCTGTGCTTCAACCCGCTGCGCCACCAGGGAGGGCCCAGAATAGGTTTTTAAAGGTTTACAAAAATTCAAACAAAAAACTGAGAGGACAGGAAGTATCCATTTTTAATTTTGCCAAGTAAAGTTACTGAACAGACAACCAAAGGAAAACCTCTAACAGCAATTCATTTTATAAAGGGGCACTTGAATGAGATAAAGATAAAAATCTCAGAATAAACTACAATTTGAAATTGCTCTTATTTTTCTAATATCTATGGAAAAGAGTAATCTGTACCAGTGCATGCATAAACCTGTGGGAATCCCTAAAATAATCCACTCTACTCACACCTCTATACCTTCCCAAGATGTAGTATTTGTATGTGCACTATGCCAAAAAAATTTTTTTTTTAAATTTAGTTTTATTTATTTATGTATACAAGAACTGGGGTGCAGGCCAGAGGTACAAGGAGTGAGAGGATTCACCAGAGACAGAGTAGGGAGAAGAACAGGTAGATTTCCTGTAATATTTTGCTAAGGGGAGCAATGGGCAAGACAGGAGAGGTCTGCTGCCATTTGGGTCGGCTCTGAGGCCTGGGATGGGGGTTAAATTCAGGTGACTATGTCTGGCAATAGCTTGGTAGCACTGAGACTTTAATTTCTGTGACACAAAAACTGTTTTTCAATTGTATAACCACCCTTTACCAGAAACTTCTCAAGCCAAGGAATCTATTAAGTTTGGGGTGACTATGGTAGAACTTCAACAGGAAAGTAACTATTTCCAGAAACTTCAGAAGCTTTAACTTGGCTTCTTCTTCTTCTTTTTTTTTTTTTTTTAAATTTTAGAATAGACTAACAGCAAAGAATTTTAAGTAGGCCAATTATGCTTCAGAGTCAGCAAAGGACAATGTGTAACTAGTGCTGATTTAAGACTCAGGACTGTCTGGGTTTTGGTACTGCCTCAGAACTTCGTGCTAAACCTTAGGGGAAGTCTCTTCTTTTCCCAAATTCAAGACATTTGGCCTTTATGACTATAATTGTTTCAGTCGGCATGAGTAACACAGAAACTTTTGCTAAGATTTACCTTCCGGGATGAACCCCTTTACTAATTACTTGATCCGCTTTCAAAGTTAAATCTACATTTTCCCCCAGTTTCATTTTAATGAAATTATTCTATTTGGGGTAGATTTTTCTCTTTAAATTTCTTGTGGGCCTTCCCCGCTGGCACAACTGGTTAAAGTGCACCACTAGGAAGCTGACCCACCTCTGCTCCCATCAGCAGTGTTTGCGTTGCCTGTTCTGCTCCCCAGACTGTCAGGTGAAACCTCTCACCCACCCCCCACACACCTCTAGCCTGGACCCCAGTTCTTAGAAGCATAAATAAATCTTAAAAAAAAAACAACAACTAATTTCCAGAAGTTTGGGTCATTCATCCAAGTTTGAGTCCTTTAACAAATTGATAGCATTACCCAAGATTTCTTTCATGATCATTACTACTAAGCCCAATTTCCTCAAGACAAACTGTAAGCCAAAATGTCAAGATTTGATTGTTAACCAAATTTTATTTTAGAACTTTTCTCAACCTTTAGTGAAAAATCTTTTGCTGTGTCAATTTTTAAACGTCAGTTTCACCTTGTAATAGTTATTTCTACCGTACTGTTTTTGCTAAATACTGCAGTTTTAGGCACCACCAAGATCTGGTTCTTCAGGGGAGGATATTTTTATCGTGCAATTTTTTCACGGCTGTAAATCATATATTCTGTCGACCATTTGTATTACTAAAATTATGAATGAGATAGTGTTTTCTTCTTTGGGAATCAAATCGATCAATCGCGCGACACAAACACTTAGAGGGCAGGGTAAGTCCTGTTTTCTCTCTTTTCCCCTTTTTAAGGAAGGTTTCCCAGTTCTTCGCAGAGAGCAGAGTTCCAATGAAGAATAATGACCTAGACAGACTCTAAAACTGAGAATCCTGAACAACCCCAACACACCCAGGGCTGCTTTTCTCTTCCTCTCCACCAGAGGCGACAACCGCTTTCAAAAACAGAAATTGCACCGAACAGGCCGGTCCGGGGAGTGGCGCGAGGAAAGATCAAAGGTCAAATTCGCCACAACCCGCCTCAGACAAAGAGCAAAGGTCAATACCCAATTCCTAAGGAGGCCTGAAGCGTCCACAGTCCATGAAAAATGAGGGTGACGCCTTGCTAACATGTCGTCGAGCCCCGGACTCCGCGGGCTTTCATAGACCCGCCGAACCCTAGGTGATTAACACACAGGTAGCCAGGGTGAAAGAGTTGGCGACCGGAAGTGGAAGTGAGCTCGGGGTGGGGCTGAGGCGAGGCCACCATGCACATGCGCAGTCAGCAGGACCGGTAGTACGCCTGCGCAGTTGGGCCGTGACGAGGGGACGTTCGGAGCGTGGGCTGCGACTCCCACGGATCCGGTTCCGCCCTCCAGTCGCTGCCTAGCCTCCCGTGCGAGAGCCCGAGCTCTCTTCCCAGAGTTCCCTGCGCCGTGAAGAAGCGGCTCCCGGGGACTGGGGGCATTTTGTGTGGGCTGGAGCCGGAGTAACAAGATGGCGGCGTCGGCGGAGTGACAGGGGTCCCTCCGGGCGGGAGCCGGCGGCAGTGGTGGCAGCGGTATCGCCGCCCTAACTCACCGCACCCCTTTCCAGCTCGCGACGTCGCTGCGAAAGCGAGGCGGCGGCGACCACCCAGAAACAAGTGGCCCAGCCTGGGAGCCGCGAGAATCCCCTCAAAAGTCCGGCCTGGCAGAAAGAAGTCAGATTGAGCGGCGGTGCTTGGGTGCTCCTGGGCGGATTCTGGGCCTTGTCACGTCGAGAAGGAGCTAGCTTTCAGCTTCCTGCCTCCCTCCTCCGCTGTCTCGCTCCGTGGACCAGCCCTAGAGGCCGCGGTCTCCCCTTCGAGGAGTCGGGGCTTGGCCCCAGCCTCCATCTTCGCTCTCAGGATGGCGAGCAGCAGCGGCTCTAAGGCCGAATTCATTGTCGGAGGGAAATATAAACTAGTACGGAAGATCGGGTCTGGCTCCTTCGGGGACATTTATTTGGCGATCAACATCACCAACGGCGAGGTAATCACTTGGGGTGGGGTTCACTACAACGCTGTGCCTGTGCTCACCACCCCCCAGCCCCCCAAACTGCTTTGGCCTTTTCCCACCGCCCATACTGGGGAATCCAGAGGGAGCCGATTTTCCTGGCTTAGAAACCTCCCCCTCGCTTTCCCTACAAGGGAAAGATCCTATCGAAAAACGGGGCGAACGATGAAGTTTCCCAGCTTGTTTAAAATTGTCCTTAATGGAACTTTTTAAACCGTCGTTGAAGATGAAAACGGCAAAAACCCTATTTCTGTGATCCCTGTTTGTTGGTTTCGTGTATGTATATTTAGTTGTACTGGGGTTCTTGTTCCAATTAGGACAGCTTCCGACCTCCTGGTTGCTCCATAACCTCTCATTACGTTTTTTGGATGAATCATTTTCCTGCACTTTAGAGGACGTGCGGATTTCGTCACTACCCCCTGAAGAGGCCTTTGAGGCTGCTTGCCTCGTTTTGTAATTCCGAAGAGAGCTTTCTCTTCCCGGCCTCTCACTTCCACCTTTCTAGTCCCAAGTTGGAGCTTCGCTAAGGTCTCCCCTCCTTTCCCAAGTGACATTGACTCCATAGGGATGTTGATGCCATCCTTCCCTCTTTCCCCTGCAGGAAGTGGCAGTGAAACTAGAATCTCAGAAGGCCAGGCATCCCCAGTTGCTGTACGAGAGCAAACTCTATAAGATTCTTCAAGGTGGGGTTGGCATCCCCCACATACGGTAAGCACCCATAAACAAATAGGCGATCCCACAGGAAATTACGATGGGGAAAATGGGGTAGAGGCAGGTGCGAGAACCAGCTGAATCCGGGCCTCGGTGTTTGAGTTCCCCGGCTTGCCTTTAGCTGGTGGATTCCTGTGACCCGTAAGTCGCCACAATCAAAGTAAATTTTAGGTTGCCAACTTAGTTTAGATTGCATTATGTTTCATTGAGCTAGCGACATTCTTCCCCCAGGCTTTCATTTGCAGTTCAGTGTGCGGGTCATCTTTGAGCCCTGTGCAGAGGCTGGGCTACTCATTCTTTTCTTCGGCACCTCTGATGTTCTTAGGTTTGTCCAGTGAAGTGGATTTGAAGGTGCCGGAGTGACCGTGCTCTGCCAGTTGCTATTGGAGCTGGCTTGGGAAATGGCTGCTCTTTTGTTGTGTTTTTGTTCCAACATGTCTTCCTCCTCCGCTTAGAAAATGGCGGAACGACGTGACTCAACCACCTATTCCTGCCCTTTTCTCTGCATGGGTTAACGAATCATGCTTCCTTGATGCCCTCCTTAGCAGCCCTGAGTGGGTTAAATCTTTGAAAAGCTCAGAATAAAGCTGCAGGCGGTTGTGGGTTTCAAGGAGGGTGTTGGCATAATGATTGTCTGTCTGTGATCTCTGCAGCAGATGCGACGTGCAGTTGTTAAATTGTACTGTGCAAAATCCTTTATGATCCTCTTAAAGGTGTAAATTACTTTTCATGTGTTTGCTACATTTCAGTCAGTGTACTAAATTTTTATGGGCAATGAATGGAATAGGAGGTTTGAGTTGCACCGAGTTGGGAAATGTACTTATATCAGTTGTATTAAAAAAAACTTAATCATGTAACCACAGCTTGATGAGTAACTCTAACCTGTTGAGTTACTTGGTCAGCAGCAAGGTTGGGATAATTGTGGCCTTTTTTTGAAAATGGGATATTGGTGAAGGCGAATAAAAAGGTGACCAGATAAAGAAAAACCATCGGTTCTTTTAAATGATTAGTGTTACAGGATTTTAGAATAGTTTAACTTTTAAGATTAAACACCTCAGAATATCTGAGGTTAAAATGTAGTTTAAAACCCAGACACTTAACAGCAATTGCTGAAAATATCATTTGCAAAATGATCTAGAGGTAGAGTAAGTGCACTGCTGTTTATGCTAGCTTTTTGTTATTCCCCAAAGCTTTAGGACTGAATTACATTTGATCTGATGAGGAAACACTATTAACTCAACGTGACACTATTAAAAAATTTCTGATGTTAACAGACACTTTAATGGAGAAATTGAATGATAAAATTTTCTGTTGGTTGTGAGTAAATATATTATTTGGTAGAAAGAGCTCAGTTTATTGTATGAGGTAAAGATTACCGTGGAATTTGAGATCTTAAAATGATTCCTAATCTTTAGAAAATTGCTATGTGAAGAGAGGGAAATTGCTGTATGGAAGAGTAAAAATCTTCATTAAAATTTTTTGTCCTCAGAAAAAGATTAAATAGTTGCCTTAGTCTAAACTGAAAATCCTTTCCCTAGTTTTTTAATCCCCTCTCCCCTTCTAGTGTCCCTGCTGATTTGCTTTCTCCTTCACTTTAGCATTTCCTAGAATTTTATGTGTATCAGTCATACAGTATGAAGTCATTTCTGTCTGACTTCTCGCATAATGCTTTTAAGATTCATCTGTGTTGGGAGGCTTTATATATAATTTTATAACTCAGGTTGAGTTTCATATATTTTAAACCATTTTCAGAAAAGTGTTAAGCATCAGGCATTTTTAGTGCTAAACCCAAATTAAATACATCCCCTTTTATCTGGATACTTACTACATATTACAACACTAACAGAGAAGACCAACAAGGACATGTGAATAAGCACATGAATAAATGGAATTAACTTGCGCAAAATAATAGGTGTCTATTATAGGATGAGTATAGAGAGAGTTGTGGTAGTCATAAACTGGGTGGAGCTAAAGAGAGATTATCCTGGCTTTCAAATTAAAGACTTGCTGGAAGAAGAGATGCGATTTCAGGATGTGGCACTAAGGAAGAAAGCTGGGTGAACTGGTTGGGGAGGGTATCCAAGAGTAGAGTGTGGCCTCTAGGAGTAATCTGAGATAGAATTAAGTAACCCGCTAGGGTGGAAAAGTAAATTCATTTTAGGAATAGTAGAATCTGCTTTATAGAAACAAAAGTGGTTCATTGGTTTTAAAGTGTTTTTCAAATGGGAAAACATGAGAAAGACATTACCTACGGGCATTCTGTTTGGAGGAAAGGAGGATATTGCTCTCTTCCCACCACACTATTTTCACATCACCTATATATAGTATATAGTCAATGTATTTATTTGGTTAAATTGGATTAACTTTAATATTATCATGATAAGGGCAATTTTGTTACCTACTGTTTTAGAAGTGTTAACACCGATTTTGAAATTAGATATTGCTGAACTTAATTTATCCATCCTACTCCCTTTTTTCTTTTCTTTTTTTTTTTAAGATATTCTGTAGGACTGAAAAATGACTGGTCTGCAATGCAGTCCTTACTCTTACTGTGTAAGAACCTTACTTAAGAAATGTATTGCTAAATAGAAGCCAAGCAGCCTATATAAAAAACTCTCCCCCTCCCCAAAAAAGGGGGGATGACTGAGTCTCTTGACTTTTTTTTAAAGGAAACAAATCCTTGTGACTGCTGAATAGGCCTCCAGGAACTCATTTAAAGTTACTACAGGCCTCCTTGGTGACTCCTTGGGATAAAGACAGTGCTATCAAGCTATCAGCAGCCAGGGAGATAAACCACACATAGGGCTCAGCAGACCTCCCCTGTCTCACCCGCGGCTCCCCTCAGCAGTGTATTTCAGTAGACCTGTCTCTTCTGCTCCCCACTCTGTTCTGGTGAATCCTCTCATCCTCCACACCCCTGGCCTACACCTCTGCTCTTATATGCACAAATAAATGAATGTTTTTTTAAAAAGTAAAATTACTGCACTTGCCATAACCATGCGATACTTTGTGCCACTCCACATTGAATTAACAAATTGAATTTATGTGTTCTCTAAAGAAGCGCAATTTTGATATAAGGTAACTCAAATTCTGCCATGTGGCTATCTGTTGAGTAATGTGAATTCAGCAATCTCTTAATCTCTTTGGGCCTATTTTCTCATATATAAAATAAAAGGGATTATACTAAGTAATTTTTTATCATTTCTTGGGATGGGAAAGATAGATGCTAGATAAACAGATACAGCTGAACCTTTCTTTAGGAAGACATTTTGCAAGCTGAACTTTGGGATGGAGTTTTGTTTGAAGAAAGTTCCTATTTAAGTCACTGGCCTACCTCATTGCAGAACTATTAGCTCTGCAATTTGAAAATGTTCTCTCACATGACAGTAGCTAGAAAGCCAGGGCATCACAATTTAATGTTATAGCTAGATCTTACCTTTGAATTACTTTAGTAGTAAGAGAGACCACATGCCACTTTTTAAAATACCACCTTAGTTGGGTGAACCACAGCTTGATCATTTAGAAGGAAGTAAATTAATGAAGATGGGAAGGGTGTGGGAGAACTGTTACCTTGCATTTTAATTATCCTTTTTTACTCTTTGTCAAGTGTTCTAGAAGATACTTAAAAAGTACTAGTTAATCTTTACATCTTGACTTTTGGCACTGAGAATACATTCTGTCAATAAGGTCTAATGCATTTAGCAGAGAAGAAAGATGACATCTCCATTGCTGGTGTCTGTATTATTGATAGATACATTAACACAGTTCACTGGATGCGTGAGAATGTAGTTTGAACTCACAGGGTAACTGAATCCATGATACATATAGTAAATGTGTTTTATACTGTCTTATAATGGATCGCTAATTATAGGATAATGTATTGATGCTTAGATAGCATTTTTGAGCTTCTTGAAATCTGAGAAATAATCCAGCAACTCTGTTTTACACAGCAGGAGTTACTGGAGTCTCCTAATTTCCCATTATCTTGTGAGCCATTTTCACCTTTATGTCAAGGTCAAATCGTGCCTGCTCACATACCCCCCACATCTTTGCACTTGAGGCTGCGGAGCCATAGTTTGCTGCTTCATTGTATGGCACTTTGGGTCATGCAAAGAAACAAAATCTCTTCTATAAATACAAGTAATGTATTATTTCTATTACTTAACAGGATGCTTGTAATTCTTACTCTCCTTTATTAAGGGGTGAATCTATGAATCCATAGATTCAGGGGTGTGAATTTGCCTCTTAATTTGGAGTACATATTTATGAAACCCATGTTTGGTACTTTGACTTTATTCATTTTTAGAGATCATTTTGTTTAGGTGTATTTAAGTGACACCTAGTTTCATTCAGTAAGGGTTTTTTATGATTTTGTAAATGTTTATTGAGAATTTGAGTGTCAAGAAGTTTATGAACAAAATTTGAATTTGAAACAAATGGTACATTGATTCTTTTAAGCTTTTATAAGTTTCATTTATTTATGCATACAAGAACTGGGGTACCAACCAGAGGGGCAGGGAGGGTTAGAGGATTCACAAGAGACAGAGTAGAGAACAGAACAGGCAAAGCGACAGAAACATACTGCTGAGGGTAGCAGCGGGTGAGACAGGAGAGGTCTGCCTTGCCTTGTGGGTTGGTTACCTGGCAAGGCCTTGTGCTGTAGTGACTGAGGATAGCTTCATAGTGCTGACAAGTACTTAACCTCTTGTACCACCAGGGAGGCCCCTAACCTTATTCTTAAAATCAACCCTTTAACATCAGGTTTTCTGAGTTTAAGTGAGCACCTTAATTGCTTTCACAATATAAGTGAATATGTAGGTAAAGTGATGCTTTTGTTACAGTTGCTGTTTCTGCTATCATCTCGGGTTGTTCTTAGAATTTTCGATGGCCAGTCTTTGTGGGTCTTGGGCTTGGTTTTTTGTTGTTGTTTTTTAACCAGATATAATTTACCTACCAGAAATGCACAGATCTTAACAGTGCCTTTGAATTAGTTTTGA